ACTATATTGTTACACTGAACTACATTAGGTGTGTTATTGCACAATACTTAAAACTTCGCTTTAGCTCTTGCTGAATATAATACTGTATTGGAAAAAAAAATTAAAAATTTTTAAAAAAGTTTTGAAAAAATGTTTTTGTGCCAAGCATAACTGATGGATTTCTAAAAACTGAATAATTTTGTCAATCACTTTGCATTAACAGTCTAGATTTCAGCAGTTTACATATTTTTTGTGTGAAGAGATTAGCTAAGATAAACGAAACCATTGTTACAAAAGAGTAGATATCTAGCACATCTTTACGGACCGGTTTGATAAATATTGTACAGCAGCAATTAGTTAGGCTAAGTGAGAACCTTCTTCCTCTCTTACACATTAAGTAAGAAATAATGAAGCAGTTCGTTGAGGCTCTTAAAAAAAAAGGAAAATGTCTTAGATACATTAGGCCTATGTTTCTTAAGATGTTGGATGCTGAAAACCAACAAGGTTTATTAACTGAGCCTAAAATCTATATTTTATTAGGAAATGAAACTTTAGTGACTACTATGGCCAATACTAGAAAAGCAGCAGGGTATGCCGTTACTAAAAAAGCATTCAAGGTTGTAGTCAAAAATTTTTTTTGGAAACATTAAAAGTGATCAATTTAAAAAGAATTATAAAGAACATGTAAAAGAGTTTTCGAGAATCAAGGTATCTTAATCCCAAACTTCATTTCCTTAACTCTTACCTTGACTCTTTTACAGAAAATCTTTGAAATTTTAATATACATAAAGGTAAATGGTTTCATCAGGATACTAAAGAGATGTAGAAACGTTATCAAGAAGAATAAAATATTAATATGATGGTGGACTTTTGCTGGACATAATTAAGGGGAAAAATCTATACAGGTGGAAAAAACCTACGAGTAATCCTGTACGTGTATTTTTTTAAGGATGAACAGACATGTATACAACCTCAGTAATAAAATATGCTTAAAGGCATAGGCTTTCTTTTAGTGGAGGCCTAGAAATTACTTAAACTTTAAATTTTTATTCATCTCATTAAATTAAAATGTTTGCAAACTGTTTCCTTTCTACTCTTTAATACAAAATATGTACGATTTTTAAGATCTGGAACTTAATATATATGGTGTTTAAAACTATTTTTAGATTTTTTGAGTTTTAACAGTAATCAATTCAAAATTTTGTTATAGATAGAATTCATCATTCTAACATTCGATTCAGACAAAGCACAAAAAAGTACGTAAGAAAAACATGCTCTACATGTCCAGCTCAGAGTTTTTTTTCCTTAGCGTGTGTTATCTATAGATTTGAGTGAAAAAGTAATTTCTTAAAGTGAACTTTAAATTGAGAATGATTTCCCAAAATCTTAGAAAAAAGTTGTGGATTAAAAAAAAAGTCTTAGAAAAACAAAGTGAATGAATGGCTGGATCTGAACTGTGCGTGGGTGAATATAGTTACTGATAAAAATTAGTGGCTATATAAAGAATGGGATGTGTAGTCTTTTTTTTTCCTGGTGTAACAATTTTGTACGAGTATTATACCACAACGGCCCTGTTTGAGTATAAAAAGTCATTTTTCTACACTCACACGCAAAAACGCACAGGCACACGCACACTTATACATTTATAAATAGTGACTTATGTGGACTTCACGTGCTTCTAACATATATATCAATAACATGGTAAAATTATGCGGACGTCCGCATAATTCCACTTTTGTCCTCATAATAACCCTTACATATATGTGATTGTCCGCATAAGTCACCTCTTGATAAACATATATAGGCTCTTGTTACGTACGATAGCACATAACTATGCGTGTGTGCACCTACACTGACCTAGGCCTAAAAGGTAAGGAAATAGAGAAGAGAAACTATAAGAGAAAAAGAGCGGAATAGGGGACAGTAAAAGGAGAGTCGCCAGAGATATAAGAGCAAAAAAACTAGGCCCACAAGACTGGAAGACATGCGCAGCTCTCTTTAAGGATAAGTTGTGCTAAGAAAGTGTAAGTAAAATACAAGTCACACCCTTAATTATTTCCACGCAGAAGAACCCACGTAATAACTGGTGTTAAATCAGTTGAAACTATCAGCCACTCACCAAAAAAAACACAAATTAAAAGCAAAATTGTACACCAACCCCGCACAGCTGCCAGAGATAGGACACGGGATACATCACACAAAAGAAGGAAACAACGGAGAAAACCGAGGGCTGGTCAAGTCACAGAAGTAGTAAAAGGCCAACCTTATAATATTCACAGGATCAATATTATACTAACCATCGTGACAGTGATGTGATACGTAAATTTCCAATGTTTTAACTATACTTCACTCATAACCCTCAATAAAAATTTTCACCCAGAAAGATAGTTTCTATAAACTGATATCATTACTTAATCAGACACTTTAAGAACATTAGTACTAACAGATAATTGCATGCACTAATATATACCTGATATAAAAGTGACAAACACCTAATACAAGAAATCAACTAACAAATAAACAAAGGAAGAAAGTAGTTATAACACTTACAAAGAATGCACATAGCTATAACGCAAATCCAAAATACATAACAACGAAAGTGTCTTGAAATTAAACACAAAAATATACAAACTGACAAGACCAACAATACACAAAAAAACGAAAGCTTACATAATGAGCGTCATTAAAGCAAACGATATATCAGAGCAAAGAGGACAAGGAGACGATAGGCATACGGTCATGCATAAAATGAGACGGGACGACATAATCGATAACATGATAAAAATTAACTAGTAAAAAATGTTCAGGTAAGTGGTTTATATACAGCAAACATATATATGTGGCACGGTAATCATAAGCACTGAACTAATTTTTTATTTTTTGTTTTTTTATTTTTTACATTTATTTTGCAAGTTTTTATTTTACTGAACTACATGAATGCAGTACTTATTTTTAAAGAGCTTCGTTCTTTCAATGGGTCTCGCAGCCCTCTTGTAACCTGAGAAATTGTGTTTCTTTATACTTATCTCATGTTTAAACAACTTCGCTTTTACAGTGGGTTCCATGACCCATATATACTCCCTAGTTTGCTTTTTTTTATGTAATTTTTTTTTTTTTATTTTTTTTTTCGTTCTTTTTTTTTTTTTTTT